GAACACGCAAGCACCCCCTGTTCCGGCATCGCCGCTCCACTGGCCTCCCCGTTAGCTCCTAGCGACTGCACGCTAAACGCACTGCTGTCTCACAAACGAGCGGCTGTCCGCCCCATCCCCTCCTCCCGCCGAACCCTCATCCCCGGCTACTACCACTTTCCATCCCCCAATTTAGGGCCCGCGCGCTACATGCTCGCGTCGTGGGATTGTCGCGCTAACCGCGGCGCTGACAATTTGTGGTGGTTGTTAATTGGTGTGTGCCGAGTGAGTGGGTGAGGGATGTTGTGGAGGGGGGGTGGCTGGCGTTTGTTGGGGGTGAGCGGGGCGAGGGATCGGTGGGGGGGAGGGGGTGGGATGGGAAGGGGAAGGGAAAGGGGTTGGCGTGGTGGAGGGAGGGGGGTGGTGATGATGGTGGGAGGAAGGGGGATAGGTATCAGCAGTTGGGTGGTGGTGGGGCGGAGTCAGAGGATGAAGGGGGGAGGGGGACGGGGTTGCCGTTTTGAAAGGAAAGGGGGTGAAAAGGTGAAAGTTTGTTGTTGATGGAATGGGAGGGGAGGGGGTGTGGAGGGTAATGGTAGAATTTTCAATGGGGAGGATTCTAAGGGGGAATCATTACACTCTTTTACAGATTTCCTTTGTTGGAGAAACAATTACCTACTTATTAGCTTCAAGGGCAAGTTGACCTACATTCCAGTCAGAGGCGGCGCATCATAGTGACGAGCTACCAAAGTCGGCGTTAATCTATCTACATAATCCTATGTTAGGTCCATCTGGGTACATGATCCGTTCGTTCAATCTCCCGAGCCCTCCACATTTAAGGCAGTGCCATGAACACGGCCTTCAACTTCTCATAGTTGGGTGCCCCCAACCCCGTCACCGGATCCCACCCCTCAACCGCGCTGAACCCCTTGGTACCACAGCCCGAGTTGTTTCCCTCCACAATGTCCTGGAACACCTCCGGGTGGGCATACAACACAGGGTTGATGAACCCCACAGGTCCCTTCCCAACCTTCAGCCGCTCACCATTAATCAGTGTGATCATTGCCCCCAACGTCGGCGCCGACGCCGATGTGCCCGAAAAAGCCAAGAAACCGCCGTCGATGCCCGTGATGTAGTCCTGCGACGCTAGCGCGACATCCGGGTAACCGCGCACCTGCTGCGTGTTGTTGTAGCGCGACGAGTTGTAGCCGGGGTCGTGCTGCGCGTAATACCCCCTGATGGCGTCGGCCTGGTAGGAGGGGAGGGAGAAGAGGTTGCTGAAGCCGCCGCCGGAGCCGAAGTTGTACGAGGCCACTTCGGGCGTGCCGACAGGTTTGCCCGCGGGAAGAGCGGCGCCGCCGACGGAGGTGATCCAGGGACAAGTGCCGGGGAACACTGTTTCTTGTTAGCTTTCATTTGACCTTCAAAGGCGAGGGGGGTCGCATACTCGGGTTAAACTCCCCATAGTCCGCCGCCACAGGCGTGTACGACCCGTCGGGCTTGACGCATTGGCCCCTCAAGCCCGCAACCCCGGTGTCGCCAGAAGAGAACAAGACGGTCACGCCCATCAGGCCCAACTTCATGTACTCGGCGCACTCACGGGCGCGGTAGTTGGCCGGCCGGGCATTCTCGTTGCTGCCGTACGACACCGAGATGACCTTGGTCGCGTTATACACGCCGCACATGGGCTCGCCCGTGTAAGCCCCCGGGGTGGCGGCGTCGTGCGGGTAGACGCCGTCCCAGACCGGGTCATCTCCACCGCCGCTTGTGCAGTAGGACCCGTCGATGGCGTCGAGGAAGTTGTTGTTGGTGGCCGGGTTCCACGCGACGCTGTCGCCGACTTGGTACAGTGTGACGTTCTGGGGATAGGTGAGCGACATGGCGTAGCACAGGTCGAGGTTAGATTCGCCACGGATTCCGGACCCGGACTCGGTGGAGAGATAGCCACCGTTGATGCCGTTGAAGATGGGCGAGGTCCCGTTGGCAATGATGCCGTTGCCGTAAGCGGAGAAGAATGTGTCCAAGTCGTCCTGGTTGTAGCTTTGGGGGGCGAACTCGACGATGCCAAAGCTGTTGCCCTCCGCGGGTTGAACATTGTCGGGAATGTCATACCTATCCAGATTAGTACAATAAACAGATGAATTTAACAACAAGCACTTACAAAGCTCGCAGGCATGCCGGGGTCGTAACCTCACTGCAGTTCTTCAACGAGTCGGCTTTCACATGACCATGGGGAAGCTTCTTGAACTTGCGAGCGATGGCTTCCTCCCGCTTCTTGAGTCCACGGGTGGTAACAATGGCTTCCCTCTCATCAAATTGAATCGTGGGTGCAACCAGGTCAATGTGCCCTTGAATGACAGCCGGGACGCTGTAGGACTCGCAGGCAATGAGCCGAGCTCCACCAGCGTTCTCGTAGACGCCGTAAGAGGTATCCAGCAGCGATTCAGCTTTGCCCACCGTGGTGGTGATCTTGATCCAGTTGCGGCCGGTCGTCTTCGAGATGTCGTCACTGGCAATGCCCTCACTGACAAGCCACTGCTCGGTTTCTGTGATGGCATCGTTGCTAGGGGCAAACACCTCAGCAACCTGCTCAGGCGACCAGTGCTGGCCGTAGGTCTCGGATCGAGGGTTCGAGATGGCGTGCATGAACTCTTCAGCGCGCTCCAGATTACGCTGCTTTAAGCCAATGCGTAGCGTCAGGGGTGTATCCGGGGCTGCATGGCCGACCTTAGTCCATTGGCCGTGGACCGTATCCCGCGTCTCATGGGTCAACTTAGTAGAGGAAGGACGAGCATGGGCTGTTATGGCCAACGCCACAGCAGCGAAAACGGTGGACGCCACCCGAGTTGAAACCATGGTGTGATTGATGTGTGAAGGCAGCCCTGGATGTTAAAAGCCTGGCACTGAACTTCGAGCGGCGGCTCCTCCGGGCCCTAAATACATATTTCCAGTCTCGTATTCATAACTTGAGCTTATTCAGGGGTGTGATATCCTACCAAATTAACTACGCTATCAGTTACACTTTGTTGCCCCTCTCTAGCATTCTCAACAAGAGAGTTTCGTATTTTACAAACACCACAACTCTGGGCTACATGAATGAGAGACAATAGGGGTAGGTAGAGTAGGACTCGGGCCAAATACCCGGAAGCAGATCTCTCGTGTTGGTCCTTGCCCCTGTGGTTGCTGATTCATACCCCGAGGACTAGCGACCCATTTCCCTGGCTTTAAGGCATCACTAATCAAATACGCACAGACCGGAACATTTGCTCGTCTCTTTGATGCTATTCTAAATCTGGAAGGAAATGCGGCTCAGTCGAGCCGGTGCCCGCCGTCTCGTAAACCCCAGCTTCGGTCCACTCCTTGATCAGGGGAAAGGTCGCGAGCTTTTAAATAAACGTCAACCCCGACCATGCCGGAGCTTCTGATATGTTTTGACTTTCCTTCCATCGTCAGAGATATGAACTTTCAACTTGCTTGAGGGTCAAGATCTCTTTACTCTTGTCTTCCCACCATGCTATAATGCGAGCCGAGGACAATTCCTAGGGTGGGCCAGTAACGAGTCTCTGTCACCTTTCCGTTTTGCAAATCTTTCGATAACTATCCGAACTTTACGGTGTACATTGTCTCTAGACCTAGAACACTCTGACATTATTTTTTCCCAAGCTCTGTTTTCTCCCCCTTGTGCTTTCTGCACTCAATGAAGCGGGCACGGGAAAAGTGAAATGGATTGGGTTAATAATTACCTAATTTAGTGACTGACTACAACACTGTAGTTAATGTGACTCCCAATGGAACAATGCTCGTGTCTTCGGCCTCGGTGCGGAGATACGATAACCACGACCGAGCGCCACCACCAACCCCTCACCTCTGACTCTCGGTTGATGGCCTGCACCCGGGGTCATTACAAGGGCGTGTTGTGGGACTGGATTAATACAGGGCCCCAAACGGTATGAATCGCGTACCACACGGGCCTTCTTTTGCCCGCGCTTCACAGCGGTTGACGTTGTGAGTCAACAATGCAGTGGCGTTTTATACAGATATATTGGGCGAAACTGCTCCCTTACATGTAGACAAACCGAGACCTTTCTTTCTCCCAGTATCCTCCAGTAATCTCCCCACAATCCATTCCACCGCCCCAACTTGAACCCATCAACCACCACCCACCATCACCACCCACCATGCCCCCCACCGCCGCCACCCTCGCCATCCCGACCACCCCACGCATCCACGCGCTCCTCACCCGCCTGCACGCCGCCTCGGCGGCCCAAGAAAACACGCTCTCCCAATCCTGGTTCTACCTCAAGCGCACGCTCGCCTTCTACCTCTTCTCCACGACGTGGGCCTCCAGCGCCGACGACCACATGCGTGACAAGTTCGTGGCGCTCGAAGAGGACAAGTGCCACTTCGTGTACCTGCTGGCGCGCTCGTCGGGGGCGCGGACCATCGTCGAGGCCGGGACCAGTTTCGGCGTGTCGACCATTTATTTGGCACTGGCGGTGGCGCAGAATGTGCAGGATGCGATGTCTGGGGGGAGGGAGGAGTGAGGGGGAGGGTGGTGGCTACGGAGAAGGAGCCGACTAAGGCAGCGCGCGCGAGGGAGCATTGGGCGGAGGCGGGCGAGGAGGTGGAGGGGGTGATTGAGTTGAGGGAGGGGGATTTGTTGGAGACGTTGAAGAGGGAGGATATGCCGGAGGAGGTGGACTTTTTGCTGCTTGATAGTGAGTTTCTTTGTTGTTGTTTTTGCTTGTGTGGGTTGAATGAAGTTGTGACTGACACTACATACACAGTTTGGACTCCGATGGCGCTCCCCACGCTCAAGATTGTCCAGCCCCGCCTGAAAAAGGGCGCCATTGTGCTGGCCGACAACACGAAGATGGCTAGGGCCTTGTATGGAGAGTATCTGGACTATATCTACGACCCGGCGAATGGCTTCAAGACGACCGAGGTGCCGTATTCTGGGGGTCTGCAGATGTCTGTTTATCTTCCCGGCGATGATTCTTAGGTGAAAGTTTGTGTCACGCAGTACGGAGCGTAATGTGGTAGTTGGTACGAGCTTATGACGGCATTGAGTTCGGAATATGAATGGTGTTAGTCGTACAGAATCACTACATCGTCTTTTCAACAGCGCCAGTGTTGCGAATGGGAGCCACGTCCTGAGGTTTGGAGATTACAACAAAGAAATAATTACCTGCCATTAAGTTGTACTATGGAATGGTTTGCTGAAGCCCAGCGTCCTACGCTCATATGCCTTGCCTGACCAATGCACTCTCCAGTCCTTCAACGCCGTCGTACGCGCGCAATCAGTCAACCATGCTTTGGCCGGGAATATTGGCAACCCCTGCGAGGTGGTTAGTTCATTAACACTACTGGAAGAGCGGCTTCAGGCTGGGCCACTTACATCCATCGACATCGTCCTCAACAGTCTGGGGGAGGGTGCATTTTATCGACTCCTCAAAGGTTTGGTTCTCCAATACGTCACAGACATCACCGGTGCAGCGGGCATCCATCGCACGTTGGAGCGAGTCGTCCTTCCAGCCGAAGACGTAGTCGCCGTGTTGGGTGTAGCCATCTCTGCGGGCTTTGTGTCAGAATCCGCAATACGGTCCTGAGTTGTATCTGGTACAAAAAGGCAGACTTACTTGTCGTTGGTGCTCCAAACGAATGGCTGCGAGCCGTCCTCGGGCCAAAGTTCTTCGTCGTTGAAAGCTGTAGTCTGTATGCAAGTCAGCAATCAACCTCGCTTAGGGCCCCTCGTACGATCAAGGAAGCCATCGTAGCGGCCGCCAAGTGACGAAATAACATTCAAAATGAGGTATGCGTACGTCCCAAATAGTCTCGAGCATGACCTGCGGGATCTTCACCGGGTGTGTTTCCGGACAGGGGCCACCATCCTGGTTGGTATCAAAAGTCCCTTCAGTCGGATAGGCAACATGGCTCTTATGGTCCGGGGTATCGGTATTTACGCCGTCCCAGCACGTGGGGAAGGTAATCACCGAACGGATCCCACCCACGCAGGGCTTCGCGGGCAGGGTCTGCGTGTCTGGCGCGGCGCAGTTCAGGTTGCTGTTGTCCCCCTCCTTGGGCATGCAGCGGTGGCAGACCTTGGGGTCCTGGCCGGGTGCGGTCAGGGCGGCGTCGCCCACGAGCATGCGGAACCCCGGCTTGAAGGCCGTCACCCTGGTCTTGCCGTCGTGTGGCGGGATGTAGTAAACGGTCACGCCGCCGTTGCCACCCAGGCCGAGGTTGGGCAGCTGCGGCACGCGCTTGTAGGTGCCGTTTCGGGCGCGGAAATAGAGGACGGCGGTCCAGTAGTTGGAGAAGTCTTCGGTGAAGGTGCAGCTGGTGCACGTGGAGCCCTTAACGAGGTCGTGCGTGCTCGGGTCCATGGTCGCGTTGAACGAGTTGCCGCCGACGATCTGGTGGAGATGAGGCGATGGGATGGAGCCGGGGCTGACGAGCGGGTCTAGGCGTTCGATGACGAGGTGTGAGCATTGGAAACGCAGCATGGCTGGTATCCCGGAGGGCACCGGGAGCCCCTGGCCGGCGGCGTGATCGACAAGGAGAACGAGGGCGAGAGCTTTCCACTGCATTGTTGGCAAAATGTGTTATGTTTTGATCGCGGCCGTTGAGTGAGACGCAAAGTGCTTGTTCACTCCAGTACAAACTCGAACAAGGAGGGCCCAGGGGATGTTTTTGATTTTGAGGGAGAAGGACATATCATTAGCTCCCGCCTCCTACATGCCGTTACTGTGGCGCTGACTCCCGTTGTCTAAATTATATTACCCTCATATTGTTGTTTTAGTTGCTGCTACAGCTGCACCTCTCTTGTCAAAGATCGGTTGCAGATATCGGTAATCTCAGGCCAACTAAATGCCTTCGACATATTGCGTTCCCGTCCCGTACCTTGTTTCCCGGTGTCCACGGGTATCCGGTCAGTGAGCTCCTGTGCACCATTTGCTCGGTCTTGGGTGCGCGGGGTAGAAAAATGGCCGGGTGAAGTGTTCGAGAAGCAAAACAGGGGGTTAACGTGCCGATCTCATTGATTGCATGCATCCCGTACCCGGCTTGTGGTCCTCAGATGGTGGCTCAGATAGCAGGTGGTATTGAGCGGGCTTTGCTAGGTGGAAGAAAAAGGAACAAAGATTTCGTTGTTTAATTAGTTGTTGCCCCTGAATCTGGGTGGCACCCGGCTTGAGGGAGGCAACCTAATTCCTACCTAACCTGGCTCGAACTTGCGCCTGATCACATAGCTCAAGTGATATAGCTATACCATTTTCTAATAGTTTGCGTTTCTTGTTGGAGCGATGCCCCTGATCGCTCATCTTGAAGAACTGAACACACTAAGCATACAGGAGGTTGATAGTATATCGTCACTCGTTCTGGAGAGCTCTGAGTGTTCTCCACTTAGCAATCGCAACTACAGCTAGCTACAAGCTCAGAACCGCGAATGTTGTGCACCCCATTGTAGTGCACCTCTTGGTTGTACCGAATCAGACACCCTTGTTTGCCTTCAATCTGACTGAACGCTTTCCCGTACAGAATGCAATTCTCACCCTCGCCAGCTGTTACCTTGCCCAGTGCCCTGTCACTCGGCAGTTCCCTCACACGCCTTTTCAAATTCCTGTATCAGACTCTACAGTCAAAGCAACGATCAGCACAACTCTCAAAACCGCGAGCACAGCACGACACCAAGCAGCACAAACTCACCTCAAAATCATGATCGGCCAGCGTCATAAACACCGGATGTTTATGCATCTTCAACTGGATCACCCTCGGGCTCTTGATACCAAACGCGATCCTCGCCAAAAACCTCGGATCATCCCTAACATCACACGCGGCCAAGATCCTCCCAATCCCCGCGAGATCCGGCTTTCTCAGCCGTTTCGGCGGCATCACAACCCGCCTCCCCGTCAGACAATGCGTGCAATGTCCGCACTTGCTCTTCCCACCCGGCAAGCCCATGCCAAAGTGCTGGGCCAGCGCCAGCGCCAGGCACCGGTCGCCCGTGACCAGGTCCTCGACCTGCTGGGTGCGGCACAGGGCGTCGGCCTCGCGGCGGGAGAGGTCGGCGTGCAGGTCGGCGTGCAGGTCGTCGAGGAGGGTGGCGAAGGCAGGGCTGCCCTTGCGAGGGAGGGGTTGGACGATGCGGTATTTTTGCTCGATCCCGCCGGCCTTGAGCTCGATGAGGCCTGTTTCGTGCAGTTCGTTGAGCGTGCGGACAAGGTCGATACGGGGGAGGCCCGTGCGGGACATGATGGTGGTGAGGTCGACGTGGTGGAATTTGGCCTTCTTGAAGGCGTTGGTGGAGATGGCTCTGCTGGCTGGGGAGCGGTCCGTTTTCATCCGCGTGAAGTACCCTGGAGTGGCGACGAACTTGTATTCGCTGTACTCCGGGGTGACGGCGCGAATTAGCCCGAAGCGCAACTCCAGCGCTGCGTAGATGATGACCAGAGGACTCATGCGAATGTCATAATCTCGCGATTGCGCGTAGTGGCTCGTCTTGAAGGTGTCGCCCACAGGTTTAGCGGCGTTTTTGCCAAGGATGTCAATGAGCAGCCCCTTGAGGGATTTGCGCGAGGGGAGGTCGCCCCGCGCAAAGTTCTCGCGGATGTACCGGTCGTCTGGGCAGATGTAGAACATGCAGTTGGCGGTCTTCCCGTCCCGCCCGGCGCGGCCGACCTGCTGGCAGTACTCTTCAACGGTGCTCGAGAGATCGAAGTGGACGACGTTGCGGATGTCGGGCTTGTCGATGCCCATGCCAAAGGCAATCGTCGCCACGACGATACGAATGTCGTTGGCCAAGAAGCTGTCCTGGATTTCGCTCTTTTCATCCACCTTCATGCCGGCATGGAATGCCTCGGCATCAAACCCGTGCTCTCGCAGATCGGCCGCTAGCAGGACTGACTGTTGCTGGAGAGTGACGTAGACCAGTGTTGGTCCTGGGTTCTCGTTCAAGAACTGGAAAAGGAGCGGATACTTGTCATGCTTGGTCTTCACAGCCCGAGCGTGGAGGTTTAAGTTCGGCCGATAGGCAGATGTGCGAAACACGCCTTCTGTCGGGATTTTGAAGGCGCTGCAAATATCGTCGACGACCTTGGGAGTGGCCGTTGCCGTAAGACAAATGACCCTTTCGGCCGCGATCTCGTCGGCGAAGCGGGCGACTTTGAGATACTCGGGCCTGAACGAGTGTCCCCATTCCGAGATGCAGTGGGCCTCGTCGACGGCCAAGAGGCGCACACCGCCCCTGACGTGGCGCATCATGGCAACGAAGCCTTCGTTGTTCAGTCTCTCTGGGGCGCAGTACAGAATACGCAGTTTCCCTTCTCGCAGGGCGGCGTAGGTCTGCTGTAGTTGTTCCCACGTTTTTGTCGAGTCGATGCAATCGGCAGCCACCTTCTTTCTCTTGAGGGCATCAACTTGATCCTTCATCAGGGCGATGAGCGGCGAGACAACAATGGTAATACCATGCTCGCCGGGTGTTCTCGAAGCATCCTGCAAATCCAACTGCGGGAAGGCAGTGGCCGGGATCTGATTACGACATGTCAGGAGACGAATCAATACTTTTGGGGGGTGGATTGCGAGGCGGGCAAACCTGATAACAGAGGGATTTCCCCGCGCCGGTTGGGAACACGGTCAGGACGTTCCCGCCAGCGAGGATCCGTCCGATGGCGCCCGCTTGCTCGTGACGAAATGATGAATACCCGAATGTCTCTGTCAGCAACTTCTGGGCGACCTCCATCTGAGCTACATTCTCGGGTTGCAATTCTTTCAAGACGCCATCATCGGGAACGGGATTCTCGTCGATGATACCGCCGCTATTGTTCCGTTGTTTTTTGCGCTGGTTGCCGCGGCTGTTAACCTCGGTTTCGTGGTCGCATGTCCGCTTCAAGTTGCCGGTGGAAGCGAGCGGTTGGCTGGCGACTAACTGGTCGACATCGACATCGTCGAAAAGATTATCACCAGAACCAAATGCGCTCATTGTTAAATCGCCAGGGTCACTGGGTGTATGAAGTCTTGAAAATGTAGAGAGAGAGCAACTGCCTTGGGAGATGTATGTCGTGGGAGAAAAGGCACTGGCAGCCTTGAGCGGGCTGAAAGTCCTGAAATAGATGCGCTGAAGAGAGTGTGCGGCGAGACGCATGGCAATGAACTCATGCCAGAAAGTTGGTGGAATGTTGGGAGCATAAAGAAAGGGACACGGAAACGGTGGATGGCAGAGTCGTAGGAATTTGACATCACAAAGCATCGAGCGGCCAGAAAGACCCGCCCAGCAAACCGAAGACGCCAAGCAATGGCAATGAGAAACTCCAGCTGCAAAAAAACAACATACAACACCGGGGATTCGCTGGTCGTCACCGACCCAACTACTGATCCGGCCCTTGCGAGTTTAACTAGGGGAGAGCGGACGGGATCCCGTGTTTTCTGGCAGGTATGGTCGTATGTGATAGCTCATTGGTGTTGCCCAACTCAAGTAGGGTCCACCACGACTTGAGCCGTCCACAGGAGTGACCGTGCCGCGCGCAGCCGGCACGCCAAAGGTGTTGGATTCGCCACAGGAGTGACCGTGCCCGCTGCGCACGGGCACGCCAAAGGAGCCTGGAGGAACTTGCCGGCTGCAGGTAGGCCCCATAGCGGAGTCAACGATGTAATTGTTAAAGGAGGAAGAAGAAGCCACCTTGACGGCAATGGAATTATAAACAGTATCAGGAGATGATTGTAGTTTAGGTCAGAAAATCGGGATGGAAAGAACGTATCGAGTTCCTTGGATTGGGAAAATGGAGCACCGCGGTGTAAAAAAGGTGGCCTCTAGCACCGGTTTGACCTCATCGCCGATGTATGACGCCGCATTCTTGAGTCTCCAGTAAGCTATATCGTCATCTAAGGGCTTCAGTAATCAGATCCCGTAAAGATTAACCTCTGTGGCGTAATCTCACAGAGCTGATAGTTTCCGTGTATTTTGTGCGTCAAAGAAGCAATTTGCTTCGCTACCCTTCGTCACGTAGACGACCATCGAGCCGTAGGCCTTGCTTGTATCCTTCCTGCTGAGCCAGGCAATCTTGACAATCTTGGCAATGTTGACGTTGTTCTCTGTCGTCGTGGTTCCAGGAATGGGACGTCATGGCCGAATCAGCGCAGACTGAAGCTGCTGACGAAGAAGCGGGTGCGTCGCTCTAGTAGTAATAGTCAACCCATAATAGATGTTGACCCTGCAAACCTCATCTTTCGCCACTTTTTGACAGAAATCCGAATTCTTTGTTCGTGTTCGTGATTGTCAAGGAATGCGCGACGGAGGCATGCAAAAGCAGGAGCGAAGCAGCGAGTCACAGGGGCCCTGATGCCAAAGTGCGGGTTAGCGGCTTTTCTCGGCGATCCGATTGGCCAGCTGTCAAAGCATCAAATGGTCCGTGCACCACCACCGCCAAGACCAACTGCGAGATGCTGATTCAAGGAAGCAGAATGCAGATGACGCCAGACATCGAGATGCCATCGAGAGAAATCGAAAGGAGAAAAAGCCAAAACTCTACAGTGAGAAGTCGACAGTACAGGTTAGAAATGACACCGTTTTTTGAGTTTTTTATGGAGTGAAAACAAGAGGGACCGTGCCCGCTGCGCGCCCGCCAAAGGAAGCCTGGAGGAACGCGCCGGCGCAGTTAGCCGACGGCCGTAATACAATGCTGTCGTGCGATTAGTTTCAGGCCGCTTGAGGAATGTTGAGAAAGCCAGCAAAGGCAGTTGTTTGGTCAATCTCAAAATCTAGTCATACAGCCGCGCCTTCTTTCTTCCCGCTGTGGATCTCTTGCTTCTGGCCGGTTCCGGAGAGCTTGGTTCCTTCCTTTTCTTTGTCGGGGTACTGCTGCCCGAGACGAGTTGAGCGTTCAATAGTTCCTCTGTGTCCGAACCATCGTTCGAGTCATCGCCATCTGGACCAACGGTTAGGTGAGCCGTGGGTCTGGCAGGCGGCGATACATACCTGAAGATGGACCTGTGGGCATCTGATCGGGATCGGCCGTGATCGAGTCTAGCCGTGCTCCAGGGCTGGATGGTGGTTCGGTCGCTTCGCGTTTCGCGGTTTCTGGGGCAACCGGCGCGGAAGATGGATTCTGAGGCGAGGAAGTGGGATTTTGAGCACGGCCTAGTGAAGAGAACGGGTTTCTGCTTGTGAGTGCTCCGGGGCCAGCCGATCGTGGTGTCGTTGGTAAGTTGCCGACAGGGTCCGATGATTTCGGCGTGGGTGTATTGTTGGTTGACGGGGGATTTTGCCGAATGAGTTCCCAATTGTCGGCGAGAATCACCAGAATTCGAATAGTGGGATCGACTTTCCGAGGGCCTTGGATCAGGTCGCGGTTTAGGACCCCCAGGAGTCGGACCACTGTCACGCGATCCACGATCCCTTGGGAAAGGCATTCGCGGCGGTTCGCATCCACCCGGCCAAGAGACTTCCAGGGTTGCTGGTCGACGAAGAAGAGAACGAGGACGTGGCATATGTGTATGCCCTCGCGAGGAGGGCGGTCGTTCTCTGACTGCAGTAAGACCCGAGTTTGACGAACACCGAAGTCTTGACCAGCGGCCTTCAGCCAGACTCCTTGCTTGATGTGGAAGGTATCTAGATCGACGGGCCCGGCAAAGGACACATGTGCTGAAGTGCTTGGCCACGGAGCTGTCTGGTCGGGACCACCGAGCTGGCGGGGGATGACACTTGGAAGTGTTAGCAGCCAGGTCCTGCTCCAGTGAGAAATAATAGCGCGTACGGAGTCAAGCCGTCATCGCGCGGCAGTGCCAGTGCCACCTGTGCAGATTGCGATTCGTCTGTCTCCCACCCGCTGAATCTTACGCCTTGGAATGTGAGTTTGTTTGGGAAAAGTCGGGCGACGATACTGAATGCGACGAACCTACTTCAGGACCCTGTCCTGTTAGGGTTCAGCTTCGGTTGAAGGTAATCTCTCAAGGGTGCTTAGGTTCGGTGCAGCCAAAAGGTACACAACAAAGGCTTGTCTCAACAGTACCTAGGCTTCCGTGCTTGTAGCGAACTGTAGTTGTGATTGCTAACTGGAGAACTCCCAGAGCTCTCCAGAACGAGTGACTAGTTAGTTACGCAGCTTTGCTTTTTACTGGAAGTGTCAAGCCTTGCGCGTTTTGTTTTGTGGGGCGTGCAGATGGTCTTGTTTCTTCCTCCCGCTCCTTTGAAATACATGAATACCTCACGGCATCCCGGATATTTCACCTTATAAAACTGCATTCGAGCCAAGCATCGACTTGGTTCCCGTACGCCTTGAACCTTCTATGATACAACTCAACGCTGAAATTTTGAGTCAAACAACACCAGCCTTGCATATTCCCGGCGTTTATTCGGACCCTTAGCCTTGAAAAGATACCTCCCCGCAAGCTGGAATTCTCCAAGCCAACCTATGAGCCGCCATGGTCAAGAGACTCTCCAAAAGGTCTCGATGATGCATGAGTTCGGCTCCTCTTAAGTCGATCAATCTCATCTGGCCAATTTATCGACCCATCTATTGTAATTCTCTTACCGTTACTAACATAGAGTTGACCCACAGCTGTCTGAGCATAGACATAGGTAGCCACCGCAGCCGCGCCTGCATCCGGATATTGGGCACCACGAAGCATATCGTGGTCGAGAACAGGACGTACCACGTCCTCACAGGCCCTCACACACCCTGTGATTTTCCCTCGGCCCTTTACGTCTTTGATGATGTCTTCGAGGACGTCTATTTTACCGACGACGAGTTCCCCAGTCGGCAATGCGTGTCTGCGAAATATGTCTTTTACCCCCTCGCGAATGCCTCGGACAAGCTGCTGGAGCAATATCTCTCGGTCCACCGCCTTACCAACAGGAAAGACGACCCAGCATTCCGTGCCCAGCTCCGCAGAGGCCTGATAGCACTGCTCTCCGCCCTCCGAGATGCCGCCTACGCCCTGTGCCGAGAATATGGCCTCCGCATCGTCAGGATTGGCCTTACTATACCGGTACAATGGAACCTCGAGTTTGAGGCTGTCTACCGCAGTCTCGTCAAGGAGGTGTTTGACATGCCTGACGCAGGGCAAATCCACTTTTTCACTGAAACAGAGGCGCTGTCCACATATCTGTACAAGCACCATTGTCACGAACTCGATCGAGGCAACCAACACAATGCCTTTCTTTTCCTCGACTTTGGAGGCCACAACATGGTAAGGGTCACACACCGTCTTTTCTTACTCTTGAACGAGTTGTAAATGAGCTAATGCCATTGGCACCCAAATAGAACGGCTGTCTCTTTGGCGTTGCTCACGACCACGATCGTCCGGATGGAAATGGCTTTTTCCGAGTCGGTAGTCCTTTTGGTAAGACACGCCCGACATGTATTGCCATTTACCACTAAGACCCCTGTGTAGGTGCTGGGGGCGGATCTGGGCAGTGGGAATACCACGTCGTCCAGTGGTTTTCCGACCAGTACTCCCGAGACATGGACACAAAGATTCCCATACCTCCACATGAACTCGATGGTATTCTCATGGTGTTTCGAGGCCAAAAGAGCAAAAGGGTGGCCTCGCGCAGACCGATCGGAATGAACGTTTCCCGGCCCGACGGCAGCGGGACCTGGCGACTGAACATGAGTTTGACAGACATGGAGGACGCCTGGAGGAGAGGCCTCCATGGGCCGCTCCGTACTGCCGGACGGGAGATATCGCGCCTCGTCGAGAGGATGAAACTGGGCATAGTCGAACGGCCTCTCGTCGTCATTTCGGGCGGCACGGCTCGCAACCCGGCCGTGAAATCACGCCTTCTATCCCTCTGCGAAGTAAAAGGGTTGTCTACGGTTTTCACCGATCAGTTCAATGTCCCCATTGCATATGAGTAAGTGGATACTTCATTTTTCCGCGCCTGGACAGCCGCCCGGTTTCCTTCATCGACAGCATCTGCTCTAACATCAGCTTCTCATCTCACAGTTCAGCCAAGGTCGCCATGGCTGCTGTTGGATTCGCCACATGGAATCTTCTGGTGGATGCCAGCAACTGATCTCTCAGGGTGGCTTAATGCTAACACTTTGCCCATCGCCACTGTGGCATGCTGTGGCAAACCATAGCATGAAGTATATATAGCCCGATTTCTCTTCCTCGGATCAGCAGAAAAAAAAAAAAAATCAATCAATTCTTTCTCCCCATCTTTCGATCTGAGTGTCGTTTCCAACAGCTGCAGCCTACCTTGTCAGCGAGACGCTCACAGTCGAGCAATTCTTTCAGAGAGGGGCCGCCATTGGCATACAAATGCGACAAGCGCGGGGGCAAGGCAAACCAAAGACAGAACCCATGGAGTGGGATGACTGGGGCAAACTGTTGTTGGATACGGTAAGTTGACCTACCGAGCATATGACTGCACCGTCTTGCCAGGCGCTCCCCCCCCTTCTCTCTCAAAAGAAGCTCAAGGGCTAACTACCATGGCGCTCCCATGCAAACAGGACGGCCAGTACACGGTCAAATACTCCGGCAGAAGCAGCGACGAGTTCCCCCTGATCTGCGACCCCTTTTTCTCCAGCCTGCCCGACCACGAACAAGAAACCCTCCGCGTCCCAGCTTGAAAATTATTATTATTCATACTCCGCTATGCCCTAGGGCGTGCCGGATCCTCAGCTATTTAGTGTACAGGAAAACCGTGTCCTCCCGGGCCGGGTGAAAAACCCATACCAACAATCAAGGAACGATGCGTTCTGGTGAGTCTGCGTATACAAAGAGAGGAGGCCTCCTGGCCTCCGAACGGGGGCGCTTCAGGCCGCCGCTTCCAGCTCGAGCCTCCTGGCTAAGTTGTACATCGGCAGCTTCCCGGAGTCCATCAGCCAGTCGAGGACTCTCCTCGCGAGCCGTGCAGTCGTGGGATTGATGCCGTGTAGAACAGAGTAAAAGTCCCGTCGTATCCGAATTCCAGTTCTCTCCCATCTTCGAGTCAACGGTGCCCACCATGTAAATACAGGTAGCACTCCTTTTCATTGTGTGGTTGCTGTACTCTCTGCCCTTTCCCTGCCCTCTCTTACCCCCTTTACTTGCTAAGTTGCTGCTACATCAATTCACTTGGTTGCTCATTTCGCGGTACCCAATACGGATTTAGTTTCTTCTTATTCACGATATGGTGCTCCGTTTATCCCCCTCTACTCTAGTGCTCTCAAATGTCGACCTCCATTTTGCAATACCAATGTTGACCCTCAATTCAAACAGCGCTGTGAGCACAGCGCTCGCCTTTGTTCCTGCTAGATCTCAACGCGTCCAGTCCGCCATGTACTCACGGCGGAACTCCACCGGATCCCTAAACGATTGTTTTGTCAGTCTAGGTACTGTCCCATGCCCATCCCAAGGCCCCCCCCTCCCCACCGACCAAAAAACAAAGTGAGGAGATACCCGATGTGAGAACTAAAAAGCAGGGTTGCTTACCAATCCATCGCGTCGAGCTCCTGCGGGAACTTGAAGATGTAGACGTCGGCCACGGCCTTGCCGGCGTCGGCGAGGTTCCCGCCTCCGAGCCTCTTGACCAAGTTCACGGTGACGGACCTGCGGTCGTACTGGTCACCCTCATATTTGTCCAGCTTCTGGATGTGGGCCTTGGTGAGCCCCGACACGAGAGTGCCGTAGACCTTGCGGCCCTTGGTCGGGATGATGCCCGGGTAGACAACGTCCATGACGCGGAAACGCTGGTAGCCGTCGAGCATGGCGGGTTGGAAGGGATGGAGTTTGCGGGTCGCCTCGGGGGGGTCCGTGGTTCCGTATATGGTCTTGTAGAAGACCTCGGGCATCATCTATGCGGTGGTGTTTGGTCAGTAGCGTGCTTCTTATGATCTGGGGTGCGGAGCCACGATTTCCAGGCTCAATGCCATACCAGTGTGCCTATCATATGGAATTCGTTAGCGGCTGGGTCCAAGCCAGAAACAGCGTTGGAAGCGACATATATGGAGAGGTGGATAGCTTCTACGTACCGTAAAGGAAGACACAACTTGTGCCTTCCTTGCTTGCGGTGTTAGCTTTCGGTTTGGCTGTTTTGCTAGCCTTGTCCTTGCTAGCTTGAGCCTTTTCGGTGCTGGCTCCGGCGCTGGCTGCGGTTTTGGTTTGAGTAACCTTAGGGTCAGCCGCTTTGCGAGTCTTCTTCGGGGCGGCAGCCGGAGGGGGATCAGTGGGGCGTTGGGTGTGCGACGACATGATAAGCGATAGTGGGCGTTGATTGTAGATGTTGGCCGAGGAAAGTAGATGTTATGCGATGAAAGTGCAATCATCAGGTGGGATTGTGAGTTTTTAATACTCAATTTCACCAGCTGTGGTCTGTCTCTTGGGCCGGCGCCAAGCGAAGCCGGCCCGGAAAGGGACGAGGAGGCACAGCTCAGGCAACAAAACAATGAAACGGCCAGGCCACATGTGTGAATCTTCAATGATGGATACCTGCTTAGGTATCCCTTATAGACCGCCCGGGGTGGATCTGAAGCCTGAGAGGTACACAGAGGGTTAGAAACAAGCTGTCGTCGCCTAAGCGCCTAAGCAGGTCCGTGAGCCAACGCCAGCCAAGTTCACCACAGAGCTCGCATATTGACCATGTTCCAGGAGCAACTCCATCTCATCCACAAAGCGAAGCAGGATTGTGTCCCCCCTCTCCCGCGTTGCAAGTCAGCTCCTGCCTCCAGACCGCAGCCTTCCCCCCCCCCCCCCCCCCCGCAGGATGCCGCATCGGCATGCCCGTTGCGCACGTACCGTTTTTAGCGCCATCCAAGCCTGTTCTTTATATGCGAGACGAGGCGAGACCGGATCCCGACGCGCCCCCGGCTACTGCTGCAAGAGGGAGGTGCGCTAGCCGGCGGGGAGGCCGCGGGGGTTGATGGTTCCTTCCGATGTGCGGGAGGTGCCGGTGCCGGTGCCGGTGCGCGCGAGAGAGCCTTTTCCATCGAGGGAGTGCCAGGGGTAGGTGGCGCGGGTTGGTGGTCGGGTGCAGTCGGTGAGGGGGTTGTTGGATTGGATGTGCACTACACCTTACCGCGCACGAGGGCGTTTGACAGTGCGACGCGGATGGTG